CTCGGCCCTTAAAGGGGAAAGGTTGCCTACCCCTGGCCTAGATCTTTGGGGCTCTAAGAAATTCCTCCCAGAGGACCGAAGGTGGCAGCAGGAGCTTTCATAGACTTACGTTTACTTCCTCAGATGTATCTTTCTTTCAGATAGGGCCATTGCAGACTGCCAGAAATAGTGCAAATTGAGTCCACTTTAAGGGTTAGGGTTAGTGCTAGGGAGTCATGGGAATTGTTTTGTTTTTTTCTGAGACATTGAGCCTTCTCTGTCAGAGAGCTCTGGTGCCACAATAAAATACAGTTCACATGATTCCCTAACCCTAACCCTAAAAGTGGACTCAATTTGCACTATTTCTGGCAGTCTGCAAAGGCCCATAGTCTCAGAGGTGCTATAAGATCTCTCTACATACTATTGGAGATATAATACGTTTGTTATATTCCATTCAACTTAAGGCCTCAGCTGCGAAAGTCACTATCATCCTAATGCGTCAACTATCAGCGACAGAATACTTATAGGTTTGCATATGCACTAGGAGCATTTTTGCACATTAAATATATTGTTTTATCAAGTGCCCTTATCACAGACATCTTTCTTTCACTAGACCCTACCCCACTTATCTGACTCGCATCTGTTGTTGTTGTGTGTCTTCAAGTCCTTTCTGACTTATGGCAACCTTAAGGTAAACCTATTTTCTTGGCAAGATTTTTTTCAGACGTTTGCTATTGCATACTGAGGCTGGGAGATACTGAGGCTGAGAGTAGTGGGTTTCTTGGCTGAGCTGGGAATCGAACCCTGGTCTCCAGAATCGTAGTCCAACACTCAAACCACTGCACCACACTAGCTCTTACATCTCTTAACAGCACTATAAGAAAGTGTCCCTAATCAAGTATTGTGAAAAAGCACTTTGTGTGATTTTTTCAGTAGTGTGTTACTACCACCACAAATTCACATTTCCTAGTAAAGACCAGAAATGGTAGCTTAGCAGCTACCTGAGTAACAAATTATAACAGTTTACAGACCATAGCAGAAACAGGTCTGGAATTGTGTGAAACATCTTACTTACGATCGCATGCATCACACTATTGTTATGAGTCACAATACTATAAAAGTAACTAACATGAAAAGGGCCTTTCAAGACCTGTGAAAGCAGTACAAACTTTTCCTGCTCTTTTCCTAGCATCTCCCGCCAAGCAGGGTTTTTGTAGTGCTTCATGAATTTCTGCTGTCTAGTACTAAATGCATGCCCAGAGGTCTAAGGAAAAGCAAGGTGGATCAGAGAATGTACATATTTGCAAGACACTGTGCAATGTGTCTGTCTCCCTAACAATGTGTTGTCACAAAGTAGTAAAGATACTGCTTGTGTTTCCAAGTGAAGCACCGCTTTCAATTTTACACCAGTAGCAGAACCTCTTAGAAAGCAATTATACAGTGGTATACAGTCGGCCCTCCATATTTGTGAACTTGCCATTCACAAATCTGAGCATCCATGGATGGTAAACCCACATTGTGGCACGTTCACGAGGCCACATTGCCATTAAATTCCATTGTCCCCATGCCAGCATAAGGGGCCGCATGCATGCACCACTATGGGACAACAGAGGTTGTCTCTAATGGTGGCACAGCCAGGGGCAGTTGCTGCCATTGGGGACAACGTGGGCTTGAGCATCTGTGGATTTTGGCATCCATAAGGGGCCTGGAACGGATCCTCCACAGATACCAAGGTCCGACTGTATTCTCTTGTACCAACACTACAGGCAACAAAAACATAGTAAGTTGCTCCAACAGGTTTGGTCATTGCTACAGTATAGCATGTATTCAGACAAGTGGCAGTACTAAAGTCCGCTCTGTAAACTTTTGTGGACCTTAACATACCAGTGCATGCTATATGCACCTTTCCCTGAAATACCCTAAGATAACCTAATGGTTGTGGTGTAAGAAAGTATCATGCTTTTAAGCTATTCCATTATTAGGCACCTTGTGGGACTTTTTGAGCATGGGACCTCAGGGGTTGGTTTATGAGACGCATATATACGTCCTTCATGAGACCTAGGCAGAATATCAGATACTTCAGCCTGCTCTCAGTGTGCTGCAAGGAATGGGGGATGCTTCAGATTCACACTCTTGAAAAAACAAAAATGCATTGTTTTTGTGAGGTTGCTTAGTAACTTGGGTGTAGGGTTTTGTACCTAAAATTTAATTCAAGTGAAAAATATATATGCTGCAGCACTTCCTATCTCCATTTGTTTCTTCCTTTGTTTTAAGGATTAAGTTGCTAATCCTTTCCTTTGCAAAAACAAGACTTCAAAGAGTATGAGTCAGTACATGGTGCATTCATAGAAATTTAACATCTATATAAGATTTCCAAGGTTTACAGTGGATAGAAGTTGCCTTCTCTATGACTGAGGGGAAAGAAGAATATTTTGCCAAAGGAAAAGCAGAATTATCTGCTTAAAAATGGAAGCATATGTAGAATTTGGTTTTTGCTGTAGAATCCTCAGCATAACTTTTTGATTTCCCCCACAGCACAGAACAGACATATAGAATAAAACATTTAGCACATGATTCTAGATCCCTTGGTGGTTAACAGGTTTAGCTGACAATAATGCAGAATAACTGAAGGGTTCCTGTAGTGTAGCTTGACCGTTTTCTCAGCCAGTTACCCCACCCCACCCCACCCCACCCCGTCCTCCAAGGACTGCTCTGTGTGTTTGTGATCTCCCTTTTAATTGCCAGTTCGGTGAAATCTCAACTATTTCTACTATAAAATTAATTTTCCAAGAATAGTATTTTAAATTAATCCAGGTATGAAGAAGTAATAAAACATGCAGACTATTTCAAGTAATGAACTTTTTCAGTGGCTGTTGAGAAACCCTCTTGCCACTCCCACTACCATTAGAGAAAGAAAAGCAGCCAGCCTCAGATGGACTTAATCCCTTTCCCACTGCCATCCCCTTTTCCTTGTTTGTAAATTTTTAAGCCTGAGGACGGGGAACTGTAAAACTAACAATTTGCAAGCTGCTCTGGCAGCTTTTTTTGGCTGAAGGGCAAAGTATAGTTGCTCTTATTAAATAAACTTTTTTATTTTTTTAAAAAACCCCACATGAATGCCATTTAATTGACAGTGAAATAAGAACTGGCATTATTAGGTGTTCAGTTGCTTCTTCCTCATAATTACAAACTGTGTCCAGAAGAGGGTTTATCTTGTGCAACAGTTGAGGCATCTACATACCCTGAAGGCACCAGGTCCTGCATGATCTTGGAAGCTAAGCAGAGTCACTCAGCATCTGTTCGACTTAATCCCCTGCCCCAGCTGGCAACAAATACCAGTTGGCTATTTCAGAGGAAGGAACTAGCAAAACTACCTGTGCGTTTTCTTTGCCTAAGAAAATCCTATGAAATTAATGGACTTGCCATAAAACAACAGGTGACTTGAAGGTACATGCACATATGACAGTCCAGGCATTTTAGAATGTGAGGGGAGGAATATACATCCAAGATTGAAGACAGTAAGTAGCTTTGCCAGCTTATTATTTGTTTGTATGTTGACAAGGACAATTTATTTTAACATCTCAACAATAAATTTTTGAAAGAATTAAAAATCACATTAAGCAGTATAAAATAAATTAAAAGACATGTGAAGGTTAAAAAATAAAAATAAAACACACATTCCAATAACAAGTTTCCTTGCTTACACAAAAAAAGGTCTTTGCCTGTCAGCAAAAGAAATTCCGGGAGGAGGCCAGTCTCTTGCTGGAGGGAGTTCCAGAAGGTGGGAGCAACCAGTGAGAAGGTTCTCTCTCATGTCCTCACCAGGAGAATGAATCTGTGGCAGGATCAATTTTTCTACAAAAATTTTCCCCCAAAAGCTTAAAACACTGGCAGGTTTGTATAGTCTGGACCTAAGGAATGTTGTGAAACCAATTAAAGCCAGATACTCATCTTTCAGTTTCAGAAGTTTATTTAAATGGTACATAAAACCAAGGGCTTTGTAATGAATGAAAAGAAGAAAGCATCCATTCCACTTTAATACATTGTGCTACAAGTAATCACCCAGTCATAACACTAACAAATCCACCCTCATATTCATAGCCCTGGTACCACTTCAATCCTTCCAGAACAGTATCTGGCAATCTACTCTGTGCATTATATTCCTGTGACTCTGGTTATAAAGGAAGGGAGGTTTCAGTGTTAGCATAACTTTTCATCTTCAACCTATGGTTCTCTAGCAGCATAGGATGTACAAACTATACCTCACTTTACAGAAAAGCTGAAATGGTACACGATATTAATGTAACCCAGTTGTGATGCACAATCAACTTGGTGCTTCAAATTGTATACTGGTAGTTACAATTGCAATTTTTCATGCAATACTTGAAACCAAATAAGTGAAATTAATAGTCCCCAATGACAGAAAACCTGTTCTCCAAGAATTTAAATGAGCAAACATTTTCACAGGAAAGAATAAAAACATTTAACTAGACTACTTCCTTTTTAACAAGAAGGTCAATATAGTTTTCAAATGAAGCTGTATTCCATCCACTCAAAAAATGGATGAGCTCATGGGGAGCCTAATGAATAATACTTATTTTTCAAATAGTGATATTCATTCTAAATGCAAGAAGGTATCAATTTACAGTTTTCTGGACTCTCTAACTGAAAAGTGAAATAGACTTGCTTATTTCCTTTTTCTACAAAAAATTAAACCACAAGACTGCTTCCACAGAGAATAGTTGGATGTCTTCTCTCAAAATGAGAAGAAAACAGACAGTGCTCAGGCAATGCGCACACATGTACTGAACTGACAAAGACTAGGTGCAGGTGGGATAGGCAGATTATATAACTAAGCAGAATAGCTTGCCTTCACAAAAGCATTCAATGATCATTCCTGTGGCAGATCTGCACTTGCTACTACAACTCGCTCCTCCTGGTATCTTTGCTTTCAGTCATTCCCATTTCAGAGGAGTTCTCCTCTCCTGTTCCCACAGGCTGTTGCTGCTCCACTTGGATTTCTGCTGATTTCTCTTCCAAACCTCTTTGAAGTGAGGATGACATCTCTTCTGCTGTTCCTACAGCCTCTGTTCTCTCTTCTGCCTGTTGCTGGTTCTCTACAGGTTCATCTTCAAAAAAATCTGCAGTAGGGAAGACTCTCTTAGCCTCTTCTGGTTTGGCAGTTTCACCAACCTCATTGGTTTTGAATTCATCCCCGGTATTCTTTTCCCCCTCTACAGTAGTATTTTCTGTAGCCCTTTCACCATCTGCCCCCTCTACAGCTTCAGATTCATCAACATCTTGGTCAATGTTCTCATCTGTAAATGGGTCATCACCCTGACAAAGGGAGGAAGCACATTATCAATATTGCAGAATCATCTAAAGTTCTCTCAGAGCAACTCAGGCCTAGCATGCAGAAATTTGCAATTGAGTAATTGAAAACTAATGCCCTCATTTCAAAGAAGAGCACAAATTCCTGCTTTGTCTAAAACTACTTAAGTGATCAGACCACATTTTTACTAAAATCTTTACTTGAGACTACCACCACCTTCAGTCTATGAAGGTGGCATTATCTGAAATCTGTGAAGTCTCCATCTCAAAAGAATAAGAATGGGATGTAAATTTGCTGAAGTACTTTTACTGTCGTTTCAAAAAGGGACAATACTATAACAGGAAAATGAAGGAAATCAAAATGTACTACCTGTGACCTGGGAAATCTGCTGATTTCTCAACTTAATTTTTTAACACCTGGCACAAAATGCCATGTTCAGTAAATACCAAGTTATTTCAGCAGCTAAGATGTAACTCCCTCATCATTCTATTTCAGCATTATCAAAGTCCAGGTCTTGACATA